CTACCAACATGGCCTAATGCTCACCTGGCCTTTCATGTTTTCAAATCATGCTCCTATTAGCAATGTAATGGAAAATGTCTTGCTGCTGGTCATCCTAGCCTTATCATCTATCTAATAATAAATGTGTACAATGAGATTGATGGCATATAAATTAAATAAATAAATACAGAAGCCCAAAACTCATTCTCTTTGCCATAATCACCATCTTCCGTACTGTAACCACCCCTTTAGGAGAACCACAGCAAAACTCTGCTCCCCACCCTTCCTAACTCTATGAGGCAGGTCAGGAGGATACCATAACTTATGGTATTGAAGGCTGCTGAAAGATTAAGCAGAACCAGGAAGTCCCACACACTCTTGCCAGAGATAATCACAAGTGCAATTTTGTCTCCATTCCCAATGATGCTTTTTTTCCCCTAATACCAATGTGAGACGCTTTTTCTCATCACTATATTGTGCAACTCAATCAATCAATGGACGGTTTCTTTATTTCTAAAACATGGATTATGGTTTAACTGCTCAAAACGTGTTTTTGGAAATATATACAATCCTGTATGCTAGTCTCTCTGACACTTTAGCCCAGTAATCAGGCAATCAGATCGGTGTATGGGAGAAAGCGTTAAAAACAGATTCTTGGATGCAGGGTCCTGACAGAAAGAAATGAAATAAAAATGTCTAAGCTTCAGCAACTAAAATACATTAAGTAATCAATGGTTTGACTTTAAAAAATATGGTTTTGATGAGGTGTAAATATTTACTTTTTGATATTGACACTGATAATCTAAACAGGAAATAAAAAATTGAACTGGGTGACCATAAACATTAAACTTGATGGATGGCAAAATATGTCTGCTGTCAATTTTCCAGTCAGTAAATGCAGGAATAAAGATCATTTTTTAAAAAGCATTTAGTTAGCATATAGACGAGATGTAACTGACTAAAAATATTGTAGCCAGGGACAAGGTCTCCTCATTATTATTCATTACTCATTAAATTTCTATGCTACCCATCTCCCTTATAAAGTGACTGTCATGTTCTGGCCTTTACAACTGGCTGGGCAGCACATGTCATATTCATATTCTCTTTCATATTGTTTACTTTAATGTTCAATAAAAATGAAATGTGAAATACTTCTGCTTTGAAAATAATGTTTTACTATTGGAAACAACACTGTTTACAAAGTTTTTTACTTTCTGGCGCTGCCATACTATTCTCCTTTAGCCAAGCTAAGCTTACAAAGTTTTAAAATTGTTTTTTAAGTAAATTTGGCACAGTAACATTGTATGTGATAATTCAGCGTTGGGGTTTTCCGCATAGTGGTTTTCATAAAGTTTTTCCATGTAACCATTTTTTGCGGTACCTTCAAATTTAAAACACTTATTACCCAAGGGATGTTCTTTCCTGTTGATGACACATAAAGAGGTGGAACAAAGCAGAAAATGAATCAAGAAATAAAGATAATGAATCAAGAAATGATCAGCAAATGGAAACATTAAGGTTAGTCTTGTCTGTAGGAGCAAATTTTAAATTGGAACACTAATAGTGAAAAACAAGTTATAAAATATGGGAGGAAACATATGCCTAGTCAATTTGATTTTCATTCAGATTAATATAGGAAAACAAGTATGCATATCAATATGCGTTTCATTGCTAAGAAAGCATTAACAATAACACAGTTTCTGTTTAAAATAGCCTTGACATTTCCTCCTCCCCAATTCTCTGAATGTATTGGTTACATTTAACTGCTGTACCAACACAAACTTTGATTTGTCTAGAAAGAAAGCAAGTTGCAGTTGAAACGCCTCAAGCACCAGTGACCTAATGAAAGCTGGAAAACAAAATAGAGTAACGCACATTTATTTTTCTGTGTTAGCTCTGACACCTGCTGGCACAATAATGCTATGCAGTAACTCTACTAGACATAAGCAAATTAAACAAAATAGTCTTATGCCATGAAGTGGGAAAATAAATAAAAGGCAAATATCTTTGAAGACATATATTCCGACATGCCTTTCATTTTGCCATCAAATCGAGTTGATTTCACCAGACAATGCGACCACTCGTTAAAATGTTTTTGCATATAAATTTAAATGCATTTGTTTTGCCTTTCCACAAGACATTTAAAAACCACTGTAATGCAGTATTCAATCTTCAAATTACTGTTGAATAGAGAACTGCTTCTGCAGAACTGTAGAATTTTACTCAGAATTACTTTCCATAAATTAGAAAATGAAATTTAATTTTCAGAATAATTTTGACAACTAGAGCTCTGACTTTGATAGTTCCTAGTACTTTCAATCAAAAGGCCTTCCTTCCTCCCTCCCTCCCTCCCTCCCCTCCCTCTCCCCCTCCCTTTCACTCTCCTGCGCTGCTCTGCCTTCTCCTCCCCTTGCAGAATAAAGACACAGTGGGAAAATCTTCATGGGTTACCAACAGTAGAGTGCGTCTGACACTTCTAGTTAGAGTGTGTCTAACATTTCTTGAACAAAGCTGTAGGGTTGCACAATTAATAGCCTTGTTTGGAAGTACTCAAAGCTTTCAGTTATATGAACAGGCAAAATGAGGCATGAAAATACTTGTGTACCCATTTTTAATACAAGGAGAAGGAAAATAGCTCTGAACTTGCTCTTAATATGATTAGGGAGGGAGAGTTGTCTGAAAGAACTTGCATGATAAAAGCCTTATCAAGAACTTGCAAAATAAAAGCCTGTTTACTTAATGCACAAGTAAATATTTTTCTCATGACATCTATATTAAAAAAACAGCAATACCTTAGAAATTCTTTCTCAGAAATATTACTGGTTAAAAATATCCAGGTCCCATGTGGAAATAATCCTGATTCTGATACCATTAATTACAATAACTGGCATCAGGATGCTCAACTTAAAAGCATTAAGTTGATGATTAATCAAGACCTCAATGCTAAACTGTATTTAATCTCAATCACACCAACCAAGAGCCCAATCACTTGTATAAAGGTTAGATATGATTAGATTAGGTCTTATTGGATTGAATAATGGGAACCAGTTCACTGCATTCCTATACTTTTGACTATTATTTTTATGCTGAAGTGTACATATTTCATCTTCCTGTTGTACATATACCCCCAGTCTTTCCATGTGCTGTGCACCCCAAAAGGATGTTTTCAGTGTGCACATGCCTGTTTTGTTACATCATAGAAGAATTCAGTAACAAAACTGAAATAAATAGAACATTAACAATAAAAATATTTTCTAAAATGTTTATATTTCATGATTTAATAATATAAATGGAACACTAGGACAATAAAGAAAGCTCTTCAGCTGTTGCTAAAAGACTACATACAGGTACCATGTAACCCTCCTAGCACAGAGTATTTCATAACAAGAACAACACTACTGAAAACTCCTCTCCTTCTTGCCCCAGTTTGCATCTGATGGGCATGGAGCAATACACAAGCCTCCATTGTGATTCTTTCTCAGTCCCTTCCTGCTCTGCTAATTTTCTGCAATACAACCAGAATACATACCAGCACTCTTCCTTTCCATCTGAATCCTGAGGTGGTAAAGGTCATTCTGTATAAGACAGCGTTTATGTCTTTATCTTCAGTGATGAATACCAGGGCTCTCATATACCAGTAGGATGGCATAGACACCGCAAGAACCATTTAATTTTTTTATTTTACTATCATACTTTTCCTTCTGTGTTATTTTTAGACAATTACTTTGTATTTTGGGAGATTTCTACTTTGATGAGTGGAGTACAAATGGCTTTAAATCAATAATAAGTCAACTAGGTGTCGATAGAGCAATTTTAAATATGTTTTTAGCATCCAGACATCACGGAACACAATGAGACTTTGCTGAATAATCACACAAAAAAGCTTACATGGTTTTTAGAAGAGAAATTTTATTGGAAGGGTTATCAGGTTTAAAGGTTTAGGATTTCATACATGTCTAGATATTATTTTTGCTACAACTGTAAATATACCTTGGATGGGGAAGAATAGACTTCAGCTCAATCCTGGGAAGGCGAAGTGGCTTTGAGTTTTACGGAACTCTGTATTCAAGGATTTTCCAGCTTTAGTTCTGGAGGAGTTGCACTACCCCAAATGGAACCAGTGTGCAACTTGACGGTCCTCCCGGCCTTGCAACTCCTATTCAATGAGTGGGCAGGAGGATTTTTGCACAACTCTGCTTGTGCATCAGTTGCACCATTTCCTGCACTGGGGGGGGGGGGGGGGGGGGATGCCTACAGCCCCTCATGACTAGTCATATCCCAAGTGGATTATTGCAATGCTCTATATGGGACTACCCTTGAGGAGCATCCAGAATTGCAGAAGCAGAAAGCAGTGGTATGAGCAGTTATGACACATATTACACCTCTGTTCAATGAGCTGTGCTGGCCACAGGGAGACATATGAGGGTGCAATTCAAGGTGCTTGGTCTTCCTCATACATAATTTCATGGCATAGGATTAGATTATTTATGGCATTGCTCTCTGATTGTTTCTGTCCACCCCTTTAGATCCAGCAGAAGCCTGCTATGGGCTCTATCAGTTAAAGAATGTCATCTTGTGGGACCCAGGAAATGACCCTTTTTTGTGACTGTGCTTGTCCCTCCACAAGATTATATCAGTCTCAACCTGCCACCTTTTCAGAAGTCTCTTAAGACATGGATGTGTCCCAGGTATGAGAGTTGGAGTGTGCTGGAACCCATGATAGGATTATTATTTGTTTATACTGGTTTAGTTCCCTGTTTATGTTTTTGTGTAATGTTTTTAATATTATTCTTAAATGATATAAGCCATCCAGACTTGCTATTGTGAGATCGGTAGCTATAAATCAAATCAATCAATCAAACCTGGTGTATGCTAAGTGTATTGTCCTTGTGCAACTGCTTTTTGTCTTATACATAAAATTGGCCACACATTTTCAGAAACCGCAATAAACCTTTACCTAATCTTTTTATCAACTAACACCCTCGATTTAGATAAAAAATGGAAATATATATTTAACTGACTTCTACGAATAACTCCCTCCGTCCAGAAATAGGCCGACCGGCTGGACAGAAAAGGCAACCTGTTAAAGCAGAGATTCTTAACTTTGGCAACTTGAAGATGCCTGGACTCCAAGTCCCAGAATTCCCTAGCCGGCACGCTAGCGCTAAAACACCGAGCGCTTCCGCTACAGAAGACCCCCCCAGCGTACGTCGGGGACAATGTCGGCCACAAGGGGCGCTCGCGCGCCTAATAGAATCCTCTTCCAGCGCCGTGGGATGACGTCAATGGAATGCGTCAGCGGTGGAGTCTGTCAGGAGCAAGTATGTCGCCGCCGACGCTTTTCAGCTTGCCGGAGGCGCGGTTGCGTTTCATGGTAAGTGGGAGACTGAAGTCGGTGGAGTGAGAGACCTCCCGACTGGATTTCAGATGGAGCGCGAGTAAGGATGGGGCCCAGGCCCGTTTCTCGCGTCCTTTGCGTGTTTCTCTGTCGAGTTCAGACTGGCGTCGGTTGCATTTCTCATCCTCTTTCAGCGTTTAGAATGGAGATCTTTTCTCTCTCTTTGGCGGACCGTCTCTGCACTCTTTTAGGTGCTTGGTGCTGCCGTTTTTATCATCCTCGATGACCAGTCGTGCACCCTGGAGTTTATGAACTGAACTAGTGCCATTCGGTCAGACTTCTATCAATGAGCAACGTTGCAAAGTTATTGTTGATTTGTTTCCCCCTTAGTAACCCATTACGTGGCGGTATTGTCTTGGTATAGCATGGAAATTATTGGTGCTATTTTGGGGGGTCATAATAAGATTTTGATGCTTTTGTGAATGGGCTACTGTCAAACTCAAGATGTGTATAATTACTGTGTTTACATCTTTAGGCACTGATGTGTTACCTAGTTAGGGCAATGAAACGTCTGCATGAAAACAAGCGTGCTGAGAGACACCAGAGACCCATGTCTTTATAATTTATATTATATGTAAATTACGTCAGTGTAGCACATTTATATTTGATCAGTTTAGATGTTTTGCAGAAGTTGAGCTGTAGGTTGACACCTATCTGTAATTACCTTACTTCAGAAAATTAAAATGGTGAATAGGGATCCCCAGAGATTGATTGCCAATTTGAGAAGGGGTGCATTTTATTCCTGTTTAGCCTCACTAAGCTTTGCCTCCCATCACAAGGTGCTCTTCCAGTATTGGAAGTGGTGCTTAGAATAGACATGTAGGTTCAACACCAGCCCAGTATGACATCCCCAAGAAGTAATTGAGAGAATTACTCTTGGAAGTTGGGGAAGGTAAGACTAGGTAAAAACAGCTTGGTCTTGGCTACCTCACCTTGTGCAGTACTCAGTTGCAACACAGAGGCCATAAAAAGAGAGCCCCGCCGTGGGCAAAAGTTCTGATAAATGTTCAGCTTTTGATATACAAGCCATTATTGTATGCACACTGGACTGATAACAAATTGCATTGCTGTTCTGCTTAGACATGCTGAGAATGTTCACTTATTATTTTACAGCATCACAGAGGTTCTAAAACTCTGGTGTTTTGAAAATAATAAAATAATGAATGAAGGCTCCTGACTTGTCCATGCACAGCAGGAGTGCAGTCCGACATCATTTTTGTTGGCTATAATTCAGTTTATGTCCTAAACCAGCGGTCGCCAACCGGTGGGCCGCGTCAAAATTTTGGTGGGCCACAGAGAAATCTCACCCCAAGAGCACCCCCCCAAAGCAATTAATCCAGGCTGCACAGAAACACAAGGCTGCTCAGCCCACATGGCCCGCGGGAACCTGCCCTGCCCACTCACTCCTTATCCAGCAAACTTGTCTGCTAAGTTGCTATTTTTCCTTTTTCTGACCATCATCTGTTCTGCTGTGCCAGGAGATTTAGATTATCTAGGAAGCAGGAAATGGTTGGATTTCTTGCTTTCTAGCTAAGCACAGCCCAACCTCCCTTAGGACTGAAGGTTTGCTTGCGAGCAAATTCAGTGCAGACTCACGGCAAGCAAATTTGAGAGACTGAGCTAGCTGATGGCAGATAGATAGATCACTGAATGATTCTGTGAGCAACTCAGTCTGCCTGCTTTGCCTGATTTTGGGTAAAAGTTGCTCTTTTTTATAAAAAAATCAATATATAAATATTTATAATATTTACATACAAGCCATGCCCAGCCAGTCACATGACCACCAAGCCACACCCAAAAATTAGGCCACACCCACAGAACCAGTTAGTGGTCCCTGGGATCTAAAATTATGAGTTTGGTGGTCCCTGAGGTCCAAAAGGTTGGCGACCCCTGTCCTAAATGGTTTGAGGATTATCTACAGAACCAAACAGAAAATAGTATCTAGCGTGTGTTTAGACATATGCTGAATAATAGAAAAATGAAGCACTTTCCATAATTTGAGGTGTGCAATCTTTATGTCATCTTAAATTACATTTTAAAATATAAGTTTGATGTAGATTTTCTAAAACACACATTGTTTTAATATCTGATAAGCAAATAAGTTATTTCTCATTTTTCTCTTAGAACTCTACTCGAGATGCACTCAAAAACAAAACCATTAAGCCTTTATTGAATGCATTCAGCCAGATACCTGGAAGGTAAATTTCAATTTGATTTGCTATCATAACAAAAAAAATGTAGTATTTTATTGAAATTGAAAGTTTTAGCAAAGCAATCTAATATTTTTATATATTTCTAGTGAAAATGAAAAAAAGTTAACATTGGATCAAGCTTTCCGAGTTGCTCTGGAAGAAGAAATTGTGAGTAGTTTTTGATTAACTGTGTATGTGAAAGTTAATTGAATATCTTGAGTGATGTCATTCTAAACTGTATATAATTTTTCAGTTTCTGGAAGTAAACTTTCAGAAGTGTGACTGTGGTCTGATCTCAAAGCAAGGTTGAATGTCCAGAACACTTCAAATTATGTCTAGTTCAAGAGGTTACTTCTGCCGCTTTTGAATCAACTTTGAAACAGCATGACCATGAGGAAGTTGAGCAGTGTGCAGAGGAGGAACAATGCATTTTGTTTCTGAATCAATAAGTTTCATGCGTTTATATTAGTAAGCCTTAAATTCTATTAGACTATATTGTGTCAAACCAATAAAGCAGCTTAACATTGCTTCAGTTGTGACTTTTCAATTTCTTTAGTCAAGGTGAGAACATCTCTAAATGATACCTTTATATATAGAGGTGTCCTGGCTTCAGAATATTTAGTTTCACAGATTATGTCATGCTGCTGTCAGAATCTGACTCGGAGGGGGAAGCTGAACAGCTGACAGGGAGTGGAAGTGTGGCTCTGTTGGCTGTGGAAGAAACTGGGGAAGGGCAAAGTCCAGCTGGGGAGCAGGGGAGAGGTAGAGCAAGGGAGAGGGAATTCAGAGGAAGATCCAGGCCCACCCCCTCTTCATCCTAGGGCACGCAGGGAGGAATGGAGAAGGGAGCAACATGAGTTGCTTGGCTTTCAGGGGAGGAAAGGGCCCTGATTCCCTTCATTAGCTGCAGCTGGGAACACAGTGTATAAACAAGGAAGCTGAGCACTGCAAGCTATTGGGAGCACACATGAATTTATCTTGTATCGTCGTGGCTTATCTGTGTTCCTGGCATCTTCCTAAATCTGAAATTCCTTCTGCCCTGTCAAGCTAATTACTTCAGCTTGGTTTGTTTGGATTTTTAGTTACAGTTTGTATGTACCTTGTTTTGGGCTGAATTTTCCACAGTTAAAGGCTGTTCCTGGGAGAGTTTTTCTCCAGACGAAGGTAACCCGGACATTGGGGGAAAAGTTAGAGATACTAAAGGGACTCTTATTGCTTATTTGACTGTGTTGCCTTTGTGTCATGACCCAGGTCATCACAGATTATATGGCCCAAAGAAACACTGTTCATACATGTTATTTACCTTGCATGAAATTAGCATTGGAATCAAGGATGCTGCACAAGTAGATCTTGCATAGTGATTGCCTCAGCAACAATTTGAAGTTATGATTGTGATGAAAAAGTAAATTTGTGATCAATGCCTGCATTTATGACCTTCTCAGTATCTGTGTCTCAGTCATGTTTGCCATTACAGTCACTATGTGTCGCCTTGTGCCTGACCTATTATTTTTTTCTTTTCTCCCCTCATAGAGTAGAGAGAATGCCTAAACAAGCAATCTCTTCTTTTCCCTAACACTTCCCTAAGGGACAGTTAACAAACTCAGTTCTGTGACTGATTAGCTGGCTGGCAGCTGCTACTTGTAATTGATAAAACCTTAATCAATTTCACACTTTCCTCTTTTTTTGCCTCCTAAGTGCCAATGTGCTAGGTAAACAGCTAACACATAACATTCCTTTCAATGTGTATTTTCTATTATATGTCTGGTTACTCTCTTATAATCCTTCCTCTCCAATGAATGTAAATGCAAAATACAAACATTGTTTCCCATCTTACAATTGTCTCAGATCTGGAGTGAGCATCTCAAAGGAGGAGTGGAGTGAGGGAAAGGGGCAGTAAGAATTTACCCAGCTTCCTCTTGAATGGAGTTCTGGAAACTTACTCCACCATTTGAGGTTACATGTAATGTCATGTAAAACAAAGGAAAGTTGAGGTAAAATCATAAACATAGTTGCAATCATATGATTTTTCACTTAGCAACTGAGTTTCTGGCCCCAATTGTTGCTAAACATGGACTATCAGTATGTGATGAGCAAGATAAGTATTTAAACGGTTTAGTTCTTATCATTAATACCATTAGTATTATCATTATTATCATTAAGAGTGAAATATTATATGAGATGTTATCAAAATCTAGTCTATACCTCAACATGAGCCTGAGATTTCTCACTATCTTCAGTATTGGAAATAAAACACTTTTTTTCTAATATATGTTTTTCCAAGAATTTGTGAGGACCACAGGGGAAATAGATAACTTTCCAATGCAGTCCATTAAGATAATGCACTGTAGTCTGTTCCAAGTATTATATGATTCCACTCTTGATGGCTATTTTTTTTTTTTAGATAAATAAAACTTCTTGTGAAAATGTCCTGGCTATCATTTCGCTTGTTATTAATGGGGTAATAGAAGGTGAGTCTGTTTTCCTTTGTAAGTGCTTTGAAATAAAATGTCATGACTAGACTCTGTATTAATTAAAAAAAACTTGTTCATATTATTTATATTACTTAACACATAGCTT